CATTCAACAGTTTGTTGTTGAGCCAACGGTTGGGCCAATGAGGTAAGTCTTTTTTTTTTTTTTTTTTTTTTTTTTCCCCACTCCCACACGATGCATTGTAACTGCTGCCTTTCAAGGCTCAACATGAAGAAAATGGCCTGATCATGGCCGTGATCGCGAAACAGGTGCATCGAGGTACGTTTCAGTGTGAGTATACCCTTACATGGGCGTGTAGGGGCAGGAAAACGGAACCAACGACATTGCCCCTCCGATTTCAGGGTAGAGGCTGCACCTCAACCTTGCTTCCCCAAGCGCGAATTTTGGTAACCACAGATCCTGTGGCGTAGGTCGACGCGTGTGGAGAAGGGAAGAGGTTGGGAGTTAGAGAGAGAGAGAGAAGAACGAGAAGGCTAGGAGGGGGAGGTGTGTACTATTTATAAATGAACTGATTAAGCAGTGAAATGTAGCTCCTTGCATACTCATAACACGTACAAGCATGCCCTTAATACCTGTGTGAAGGATGTATATGACATAAAAACGTAAGGTACTCCGAGCACACACTTAATACACTCCGACACAGCGTTAGTTCCTATGTGAAGCATTTTTCTGGGCAATAAAATGCACAGTGTACTACAAATAACCATGATCTCACGGTATATAATTTGTGCGTGGGATATGTTCAACCCACATCGAAATCAACATCTTGGCCGGAGTTAGACCTTCCATCCCCGTATGGTTCTTTTTCTGTATATAAATTGTGCGTGGGATATATCAGCCCACGTCGAAATCGAAGCCCTGACCAAGCATACAATTTTATTGTGCTGACGATTGATTATTAGTATAGCTTGATTTGAAATTGCACACACAACATTTCCGACATATATATATAGTGCAACCTCGAGTTTTTCTCGGCAAGGGTGCCGAGGGGTCGGTCATGGGGCAGGGCGTTCTGCTCGACAACTTCGACGTGGATGGAACGAGTCCAAAAACACGTAAGTTGTTGGGCGGCGCCCCAGTCCCGTTGACCCGGACAGATCCTTGTCTTTTTGTCACAATAATGTTGGGCGGGTTCCAGCCCAGCTCATCCCTGAAGATACCGATTGCAGATCTTGCCCTTATTTGGCATCTCTCTTCAATGCACGTGCTCGTAACAAGTCACAAACTCAATGTTCATTTATAGATGAAACTGCGTACGAGGTGTAAAGATTCACATACGACGGATATTTTGATGTATAAGTTCCTAGGGACCCTATCTGGTCATCATTGTGCGTGGTGAGCAGTAAACGGCCAAAGTTGTGAAGTCGCTTGTTGTATTGAACTGTCGATTGGATAGATCCGCCACACACCCAACTGCCTACACGCAACATCATGTACAATTTTTATGAGACAAGGACCCGTCTCATTGACGGGTGGCAGATACATCCGGCCCAAACACTCCATTCGCTGAACATGCATGAATGCATACATAGAGATAGATTTATAGACAGAGAGAGTAATTATTATTGAAAATTCCCGAACGAGGTGGGTAACCATTAGGAACTTGTATCGAACACTGCAAGTGGAAAAAATACGGGTTGCCTGTGGATCGGATACATACTGCCCACACCATTGAATTCGTTAAATTACCGACGAAGCCAAATGACGAGAGAGAGAGAGAGAGAGAGAGAGAGAGAGAGAGAGA